CGGCCCCCGACCCCGCTGCCGGCTCTCGAGCGCTCTCAGGGAATCGCACGCGGCGCTCCGGTCGTTGGCCTCGCGGCCACGTCGCGTACATCCCGCAGGCCGCACTCTTGCCGCGATCTCGTACAGTCACGGCCGTTGCGAGGCGGGACGGCCAGACCGCTCTAGAAGCATCGACGGGAGGGAGGCGAACCTTAGACCTAGGAAAAGTGGGGTTAGGTTGACCCCCGAAGTCACGTGGGGCCGGCTCGGTCGGGCGCGGAGAGGTTAGGGCAGGACGGTCAGAATCTCAGGTGGGATTTCCTCGCGGGCGGAAGTAGTCCAGATCGCGGAAAATGAGAGCAATCCGCGCGTACCTGTCGGCACAGAGCCGCGGTAGGTCACCCCAGGTGGGGCCCCTCGGGGAGAGGGGTCCGCGAAACCGGGCCCCGAGGTCGGCCGGGGGAGCCGCGGCGCGGAACGGGCGCCGGTCTCTAGCGGAGGTTTCCCTCGGGGATGCGTTTTCGGCCCCCGAGAGGGGAAACGGGAGAGACCTCGAGGGACGTCGACCCGATATACCGACGGAAGTCGAGACCCGCGGACGGCGCATCCGGTGTCGCCGAGGAAGTTGCGGTCGGGCCAGCGGCTCCGGTCCTTCTCCCGGGGCTCCCGGGGGTAGACCCCGGGACCACTTGACCGGGAGGAGATTCCACCGGCGCGACGCGCGCAGGTCGCCGACTCGAGCCGCCGCTCCAGCCCGCGAAGGTGGTCGCCCCCTGACCCGCTTGCGGAATGCACGCTCCGCGAGATCGATGCACCGCTCCGCATCCCCAGCCCCGTCGCCCCGGCGGTCCGTAAGGGGTTCACCCGGGGTTGGGAGCCTCGTTCCCCCTAGACCGCCGTTTCCCCGAGTCGCCCCGGATCCTCCTCCCCGTCGGGCCCTCACCCTCCGACCCCAAAACCTCCGTGACCGAATCTCTTGATCCCTGATACTAACAACTCCCGAAGATGCCCCCACACGTTCTAACCTCAAACACCGGTAGTCCCACCCCAAAACCACGCATTTAACCCCTCTCATAGATCTCATCGATATCACCGATATCCTCGATATCCCCAGCATCCTCATCGCCATCGGCACCGTCATCATCCTCGTCGTCGGCATCGAGATCGGCATCCCGCCCTGTCCCAGTCCGGCACGGTCCCCGAGATAGGACCGACCTATCCCAGGGCGCCGCGGCGCTATCGGGTCGCCGGCGCATGCGCGTTGCCTCGGATGCAACGGTACCTCGCTCTCGCTGCACGGACCTCGGACCGAGTGTTGAGGTAGGCGAGGTCGCGTGCGTGACGTCACGGGCCTCGCTTACCGCTATACGTGAGCTCGTACGTACTTACGTACGTGTCTTGCGGGCCTCCCCCTCCCAGCCACCCTCCCGACTACTCCCGCGGTTCCTCGCGGTTACGTAACCCCCCCATCCCTCCCCGCCCCTCTCAACCCCCCAGTATCCCCGATCGCCCTGTCGCTACCGAGGTCGTTGACCGATAGAAGCGGAGCGCACGCGCGCAGAGTACGTCGCGCGTTAACCACCCGCCCGTAACCTCCCCCTCTCCCCCCTGGGGGGGGGGGATACCAGGAGGGATACCTCCCTCCGAAATAGAAGCGACCGAATCCCGGGATGAGCTCGATCCGGAGGTCCCGGAGGGACCTCGCTCGGTCTTCCCGACTCGAGAGTGTCGATTCACAATTTGGGGGGGGGGGAATAGGGGGGAGGAGGGACATCCTTGAAATAGCGACGGAGGAACGATCCCTGGGGGAGATAAGCCCCGGATCGCAGGGTATCTCGAGGATCGGAAAAAATTGGCGGAAGGGGGAGGATGGGGGGGAGGAGGGGGCGGTTATTCGGTTATTTGGGTATTCGTGGCTTCTCTCCCGCGCGCTCTTTCCTGGGGGGTGGAGGGGTGGTCCGGAGTGGGTGGTTGGGGCGCGATACCCTGGCGGGGGGGGCGCCGTTCGGCGGGTCCAGGGGGAGGGGAAGGAACCCGTTAGTAGAGCGCTCGCGCTTACGGTCTCTAGAGGGAGAGACATACCAGGGTTCGCGCCGCGGGTTAGAGGGAGACCCGCCGATCGGGACGCGACCGGAGGGACGGAGACGGCGACAGGAGAGAGGGGAGGCCGGGGGGTGGGGCGGGGGGCAAGACACACCGGGGACTCTCACTTTCACGCGGTGAACTGCGGGTGAACGTCCGGGAATTGGGTCAGAAGGCCCCCCACCTCGCGGGCCACCAAAGGCAACGTGCCGAGGCTCCTATGCTCTCCGTCCTAGAGAGAGCCAGTCCACATCCACGCTCCGTTACAAACGGTCGCACTCGCCGACTCCCGTTTATCCGAGTGGCTCGCCGCGCGCTGCGCTCGATAGAGAGGGACGCCGCGACGCCGAGTGCCACCGAGTACGCGCGCTAGGGATTACGAGAGATCGGCCGCCCCTCGCGCGAGAGGACCCCCCGCGCACCTGGCCTGGAGCCCGCCACCTGGTTACCTTTTCTTCGTTTTTATCGCGAACTCGTAACCTGGTGATAGGACGGGGTATAGGGGAGGACTGAGGTTTTTTGGGAGGTGATAACGGCGGGATTGTTTCCGCGCTACGCCAAGGGTGACGTTGACCCAGGTCGCGCTGCCTACCGGATCATCCACCATTCGGTCCGGTCCTTTTTAATGGGGTGCCTGTGCGAATGTGACCTAGCCACCCCGAGATCGGGGAATGACTGCCCCTCGGGCTCGTCCTCGGACAGCGAAGGTCAGACTGACGAGGGTTTCGCCGGTGATTCGCAGGGCTTCTTCCGGAGGAGCATCCAGCAGAAGATCCAGTACAGGCCCTGCACCAAGAACCAGCAGTGCAGCATTCTGCGCATCAATCGAAACCGCTGCCAGTACTGCCGGCTCAAGAAGTGCATCGCCGTTGGAATGAGTCGCGACGGTGAGTAATGAGATATTTCGAGGTTCCCTAGACTAAGTCCTGGTGCCTAGGAAGGGACCTCCTCGCCCAGCGGACGAAGCCCTACCCTGGGCGATGTGGTCCCTCGGATACCTTAACGATACCGCTCGCCGTTTTCGAAGATCCTCGGGAACGTGAGGAAGTCGATGACCCCTGGGGATGAATCACGGGTTCGGTTTTCCTCCTACGCCATCTTGAATTTCGTTTGGCGACGTTTCTCATTTTTCGTAGGCAATGTTGAGGTCCATTGTGGGGGTACCGGGGTCCTGATCGGCTGGGGGAAATCGCGGCTCGGGGTGGACCTGATCCTGGGGCCCAGGGCGATGGGAAAACCCGCGCCAATTTGGGTTGTCGGGGCAATGACCATTTACGCAACTCGGGCGTAGCGCACCGACTCGCGGGCCGCCACTGCGCCCAGCGCTCGCGAGCGCGAGTACCATGGCGCAACCACGGCGAAAGTGCTCGAGCTCTCGACGTTCGAGAAAGTAGCGCTCGATTATCCCTCCCCCCCGATCGGCGGGTAACGCGTTCGTTGCACCCCGAGCCGGACGCCAGGACCCTCGGGTTGCGGCTCAACCCCGGCCGGGCCGCCCCCGACACCCACCGCCTCCCTGGGTCGACGACCGCGCGAACCCCCACGGGCCAACCTCGTCCTCGAGGTGGAAGTCCCTGCTGGTGGGGCCGCGGGAAATAGCGACGGTCGATATAGGTCCAACCCGATGCACCCCAAATATAATCTTATCACCCTAGAGCTCCCCTCACCGATGAGAATTTCAGCGAACGTCCCCCAGTCAGACAGAGTCCCGGAATTCGACTTTAATTAGGTCGATAACAGGGGGTTTGGATTTATTAAATTCCAGATAAACTATCAGTCGATCGTCGAGGGTGGTTCGAATTTGGGAGGTATATTTTGAGGTTCGATTTCACGGTGGATATCGGTTGAGAGTACATTTTCGGAAGAGGGGCGAGAGGGAGAGGGAACGCGTAGAGAGCGAGCGGAGCCCTTCCGATATCGCGAGGCCGCGGCCGGGGTCAATAGTCGGCCGTTGCTCAACCCGCGAGTGGCTCCCTCCGTAGAGCGAGTACCGCTACGCGCCGCTACGTCCTCCCCACTTCGCGTCCCGGAGCGCCCCGCCAGCGCCTCGTTTCCCTCACCGCGCGGAGTCGCGGCGCTCGATCGCTCCGGTTCAGCGCGCTCCGCGGGTCCCCCCACGCGGGGGCACGTCGCCCCCCACCAGCGCGGCGCGCTGCCGCTTCCCCGCCGCGGGCCGCGCTGCCCCACGCGCTGGTCAGCGCGCCGTCGCGCCGGCCAGTGGCGCTCCGCTCTCCGCGGAGACCTCGCGAACCTCGCGCTTCCCCCACTCCTGCCTCCCCGTTCCCGCCGCCGCGCGCACCTGGCCGCGCGCACGTTCGGGGGGGTAAGACGAGGCGCGGCGCCCCGAGCGCTACAGTCGCTGCCCGGACGCGGCGCGCGACGCGTCGAGCGCTCGCCGGATGACTAAGGAAACTTCTACCAGAAAATGAATCTTCGTATCGCGTATCCTCTTCCCCATAAAAAAAAATATATATATAAAAAATATAAAAAAGAGAATGAATTACAGGAAACAGATTCCAGAGTACGGGGAAATGAGAAATTGCCAAGGAGGTTAAAAGGGAGTCTCGGGATAAATTCACCGTACGACTACGTCGCGAGAGATTTGATTTAGACGCGGAGCAGCGAGGAGGGCGCTCCCGCGCGGCGCGGGTCTAGAGAAGGTGGACGCGTATAGCGCGCGGCGGAGGGGGCGTCGGGGGGGTGGGGGGCGCCTATATGGGTCGTCGGCGTACGCCTCGGCGCGGCCGGCGCTGAAACCAAGTTCAAGGCCAAAGGCTCCGGCAAAGGCCACGAACGCTCGCCGGTGGAGGGGATCGTTGACGGCGCGGCGCGTGGAGAGGGGGCCCGGGGGCCGGGGTCCGGGGGCAGGAGGCGCCGCTGGAGGTGGGAAGGGGCTGTTGAACGCGACTCGCGGAACGTCACTCAGTCGGCGGTGATGCTGTCTCGCGTCCGCACGCTGCTCCCTCCCGTCGTTCCTAACCGAGGGCAGTCGCGAACGCGCTCTCTTGTCCGTCATCTGTCGGCGTGTTGTCGGGGGGCGCGCGCCAGTGCGCACGCGCCACCGCGGAGTGGCTCGCGCGCACTAGCTCCGAGCCAGCCGAGCCGGTACCGGCTAACAGTGACCGGTAGTGGTTGCCCGACCCCACGTGGCGCGACCGCCCTCTCTAGGGGCACCTCGCGAGGGCATCCTCGGTCGATCTTCCCGGAGTCCCCGAGACACCTGCGAGACTGAGACCCATTCGGTGCCTAGGTGTATATCGGGACTTTGAGACACACTACGACTCGAGGGGGGATTCTCGCTCCTGCCCGAAGTCATGGGAGACGAGCTACCGATTCTTAAGGGAATCCTCAATGGAGTCGTCAATTATCACAATGCACGTAGGTGTCAACCTGGTCAGGATTTTTGGATTCGTCGTGCAGCGGGGTTGTCCCTATTCCTGAAATCGAGATTCTCGTTGGCTCACTTCGGACCCGGTGGATCTTCCTCGTGATAAGAATTTTTCATTTTTTTTTTTCCTTTTTCTTTTTCATTCGATGCCGAGGTCGACCGCTTTCTATCCATGGGGAGGACTCTCTCGTATTCGGGATACTTTCGTTCGTCTCGGCTCTCGAGAAAGTTCGCTTTCCCCGGTGCCTCGACCCAGGGGTCCGTGGACTACTCCACTCCCACGTTCTCGCGTACGCGTTATGGGATTAGATTTCCCCGTGGATTGGCGATTAGGCTTTACTTAGGTTATAGGGGTTACGTGGACCCTGGTGATAATC